TTCTTGCTCACATGGAAGTAAGTTATCAAGACAAAAAGCAAAAATGATCCACACAGAAGCTGAAGTCTTCTCACAAAGATGTATGAGAACTAAAGAAGAGGTGTGAGACAAAGATTTAAACTCTGAACAAAGAAACAGCCAATTCCTGACACCCTTGCCCTTCTTGGCCTTGGACTGAGACTGTGGAAAAATAAATAGGGAGGGGGGAAAGTGTCCAAAACACGGGTCAGAGATTCCTGTCAGCAATTCTATGCTGCTCAAGGTGGAGAATTAGTACTACATACCAGGAAGAAGGAAGCAGGAATCACTCTGCAACAACAGCCCAAAATACCTCACTGAGCACACCTGAAGTGGAGCTGTGTGAGCACACAGATAAAGATGACGCTCTCCATGCTCAAGCCTGACACCTCATTGTCCTGAGTGCCTTCAACAGTCTACCAAAGCTGGAGACCACAACAGTTACCAAACAACAATCCCAGAGTTCTTAACAACCCCTGTTAAGTCCTGAGAGGGAGGCATGTACACCTCCTCTCATTTCAAGCAACCCAATCAGTGGGTCTTTCATTAGGCGACTACTATACCATTTACTAACTTTCCTTTCAAAGATTTCTAATATTAATCCTCTTCCACGGCATATCCCACTGTCATTCAACTTTTGTAAACCAAAATTCTTTTGTCCTTGCCTTATTAATATTTTGTTTCTATCACCCTCCTTGCTGGGTTAGCACCGGGCTAGTAACAAAAAACACACAAGGTAACTATTACCATGTACTATTGCCCTTTATTGGGTCCTTGATAATGCAAACTCGGTAGGGGAAAATAAAAGTACCTTAATGCTATTTGCATTAGTAATACTAATAAGTATTCACAACAACAATAACTCCACAAGAGCCATGGGTTGTTAGCTTGCTAACCATGGCATAAAAGATACCAGAGTATCTTTCCAGAAGTTTCTTTAAAAAATAAGTATTCAAATGCCAAACTTCTGGCAGAGGGATAGTAGCACACAGTATCATTGCTTGCCTTCTTTAGAACTGGTTGTTACAGCTGCATAAAAGTTAGAAATGCTGCACGGAAAATGGAAAAGTAGGAAACAACCCAACAAGAATCCAGAGGGTCAGTCATGACTCAGAAAAGGGCAAAAGAAAAAAAAAAAAAAGAGAAGAAGCTGTCAGCAAAGTAAACTCAGCATAAACTGCCCAGCAACTCAATCTGAAAAGGCAAACCCAGATATTTGGATCCAAATATATTCTTCACTTCAAGCATTATGAAAAATAGAAATGCTAGTGAACTGCCCTACTCATTAACAGCCACACTGGCACAAATCAGCAGAGGAGTACAACACACTTACTTGTGACTGCTGAAACATCAGTGGACCAGATTTGAAAAAAACCTCAAACCTACAGAAGCATCAATTGTGAACTCCAGAACTGGCACACAAGCTACACTGAACAGCTCTGAATGTTAGAAAATGCATTACAGCAGCCCTTCAGAACACAAAAAAGGATTTTAAATTCAGCAGAGAATTTCAGGTCCTGTTGCCTATGTCACCCATAAGGCATTCAAATCTGCATCACATTCTCAAAACTGACCCAACAACAAACTTAAATAATCCAGTAATGGACTGGCAGTAAGTGCACATTACCAGTAGGTCATTCTTAGGTCCCTTTTTAACATTCCCATTAGCAATTTGAAAGAGGATGGGAGTGGCAAAGGCAAAGAAGCCAGATGACACTTGCAGAGGACACCAAGCTGGGTGGAGCAGTAAACAAGGACAAATATAGAAGAACACACTGGGTTTTTAAATAAAGACCAAAGCACACTTCATACAGAGGAGAAAATGGAGCAGCACTGAGCACTGACCACATTTACACAGACTTCACACTCATACAACTAATCTTCCTGAGGAGGAGCTTGCACCTGGATAACAGCAACTCTTAAATCAGTCTGTTACAACAGAACAACACCGAAAAGTGTGTAGTGCAAAAAACTACGTGTAACCACCTACAGCATCTCTTGAAGATGAAACGCTGTTTTAGTGCAGGAAAAATTGCTTTCCAAAGGCAGCTGAACGCACAGTACTGGCAGGATCACAAGTAATCTCAAAACACTACACAATCACTACAGAAATTTAGGTGTTGTCTGGAGAAATGTTGCAGATGAAAACAAAAAACGTTCCCACAGCTGGTGAATCAGCTGGGCTCACTCCCTCACAAGACAAGAAGTAACTGGAAGCACACCTGAACGCATTTAATGCCAAACACTACTTTCAAAAGCAAATGTTCTGCAATACAAGGCGAATACCATAATAGATAGAGCAACCAACACTTCCTACATGTTTTATTTGAGTAAAGGCGGAAAACAACAACAGCAACGACAAAAAAACATGATTCCAGAGCAGCCCAGCCGCCGGACCGGACCCTCGGGAAAGCGGGGGCGATGAGCAGAGAAGCGCAAGGCACCCAAACTCGGATACAAATTCCGGTTTGAGGAGGGCTCCGGCGGGCAGGCGGCGAGCAGCAGCCCCTCCCCGCTCTCCCCGGGGGCTCCCGTCCCTCCCGCGGCAGCGCCCGGCCCGGGGCAGCGCAGCGGCCTCCCCGATGCCCCCTCCCCTAGAAGGCCGCGGCCCCGGAGCTCCTGCACAAAGGCCCGGGCAGCGAGCCACCCTCCCCTTCTCGGCCGCGCTCCGCCCGCCGCGGCCCGGCACGGGCCGGTCCCGCTGCCTTCCGGGGCGCCACCGCGGGGACGGCCGCGCCCGCCCGCCCGTGAGCGGTGGCGCGACCTCGTCGCGGGGCCGGCCGCGCGTAGGCCCGGAGCGTACCTGGGGCGGCGGCGCCGGGCGGGGCCGGGGGCGCAGCAGCCCCGGGTCGGTGTCG